ATGCTAATATGCAAACCATGCCAAAACGCTTTTGGGGAAATCGTCTCGACGCCTCATCTCACCCTTAAGTTTCCTTCTGACAAGGGGATCATTTGCACCGTTTGGACAGATCAGAGAGTCGATCGGGAATGTTATGTTGCGAGACTAAAGGTTGAACCCTCAACCTCGTGACGAAAGGTTAGACGGTCGGAGGTAGCAATGGCGGACTTGGATCCAAGGGCCAATACTGATGACCGGATAGAACCACTAGGAGATACGAGACCCTTCGGTCTCAGGTGAAAGGAGGACCAAGTTACTTTCATTTGGAGTGAGTTGGAGGAGGAACAAACCAAGCTAATAGGCGGTGAGCTAAAGAAAAAAAGGAACTATTCACTTGGACTGAAATCGACATGCTAGGAATCCATCCAAAAGTCATGTCGCATAAGTTGGCATTGTTCAAGGAGGCCCGCCCGGTGGTACAGAAGAAGAGGAGGCTTGGGGAAGAGAAGAGATTGACGGTGGACGTCAAGGTGAAAAAGCTCTTGGAGGCAACTTCATTCGAGAAGTCAAGTACACTACTTGGCTGACGAATGTTGTTATGGTGAAAAGGTCGAATGGGCAGTGGAGGATGTGCACAGACTTCACAGACTTAAACAAAGCTTGCCCTAAAGACTTCTATCCTCTGCCGAGCATTGATGCTTTGGTAGATGGGGCGTCGGGGTATCAAGTGTTGAATATTTTAGATGCCTATTCGGGGTATAATCAAATTTCCATGTACCCCCTAATAGCGATAAAACAACTTTCATTATTGAGCGGTCAAATTACTGCTATGAAGTAATGTCGTTCGGGTTGAAGAATGCAGGGGCTACATATCAGTGCTTGATGGAAAAAGTCTTTTGTCATCAGATTGGGCAGTGCATGGAGGTTTACGTGGACAACATGGTTGTGCGCAGCCGCTCGATAGAAGATCATGTGAAGGATCTTGCAGAAGTGTTCGGCCAGGTGCGCAAGTATGGTATGCGTCTGAATCTAGCCAAGTGTACTTTTAGGGTGCCAGCTGAAAAGTTTCTAGGCTTTATGCTAACAGCCAGGGTAATAGAAGAAAATCTTGACAAGTGCAAGGTGGTGCTTGAAATGAGAAGCCCACAGAATCTTAAGGAGGTGCAACGCTTGGTGGGACGACTGATTCGTTGTCCCGCTTTATTCCAAAACTAGCAGAACGTATAAAGCCGATTTTGAAGATAATGAAGAAGAGTGCCGAGAACAACTAGGACGATCGGTGTGAGGTGGCCTTTAATGAGGTAAAGGACATACTAGCTAGCCCGCCCGTTATGGGTCGACCTGATCTAAAGCACGAATTCTAATTGTTCTTGGCCATTTTGGAGGAAACAATTAATGCGACTTTGATGTAGGAGAATCCTGAATTCAAACTCATCTACTTCATCAGTAAAATACTACATGATGCGGAAACAAGGTGTATAGTATAAAATATTAACCGAGTGGTTACAAACAACCAACCGGATATTCAGGTAATCTGTTTATATCTTATTCTGTTTATATTTTATTGGGCTTATATCAGCTCAGGATCCATGAGGTAAATTATAAATACAAAGCCAGGGCCAAAAGCCAGGTACGTTCCACTTACTCTACATGACTCTCAAATACTCAATAGTGATAACCATTCACTAAATATTCAACCAAGAGCCGAGGCTCTTCAAATCACACGCCTAACTTGGGCATCAGAGTACCTTTTGCAGGTACATCCCCCTCGTCAAGAAGGAGACCGATCGGTTTGCACCAACACCGATCGGCCAACAGGAGGAGTTTGGAAGCGAGCGAGCGGCCCAGACGCGTCAGCAGGTTAGTCTCTCGGTCCCTAAAAGTATCTACCGAAACACAAGGTATAAGCAAGTGGAGAGTAAAATACTACATGATGCAGAAACAAGGTATAAGCAAGTGGAGAGACAAGTTCAATGTAGTCAATATTATCTAGTCTCGTTTCCTACCAAAATTACATTTATTTTACATGTCTTGTCCAAACTGTGTTGTACCCTATAATATTTAAGCTCTATTATATTCAATTTCGTTTTGTTCTATTATATTTAATCCGTTTTATAATATCTTTGCGCACTACGAAAATTTTAAAGAAATTTATAAATAAACCATTAATTTCGTTGTTAATTAGTAAGACTTTCTTTTCTATGAAGTAACTTTTTAGCTAATGGTTTTATATAAATATTAACTACATTCTTATAAATTATGGCATATGTATTTTAAAAATTGATTCCAAAATACTAATATTTAAATAACTTATTATATATTTTTTTATGTTAAAGGGTTTTAACCAAAATGGAAGGAGAATCGAGATATGTAGCTATTGAAATAGAACGTTTAGAGAGAAAATGGACTGAGATGCTTCAAAATATGAAACCTCCATATATAAATGAAATCTATATGCAAAGTATTTATAGAGTACCAAATATTCGTCAAAATAATCCCAAAGCCTACACACCTCAGCTGTTAAATTACCTTAACAAGAAAATACCAGTGTTCGAGATTTCTGATTCATCTGATGAGTCATGCTTTTTTATAAAAATTCCTCAAGCTAAAACCAGTTTTTCAAAGTCAACACTAATCCAAATCTAATGCCCAAATTGCACTTCATTAATATATTCTTTTAGCAAATGACATTGCAGGCTATTACAAAAAGAATTTCAATATAATATAAAAAGAATTTCAATATAATATAACAGAATGACATTGAATACAATAGATTTTAAACATTATAGGGTATACCATAGTTAGTACAAGGCATATAAAATCAATGTAATTTTGGTAACGAAAACGAGACTAGTGAATAAAATGTATCCACCAAACGTTATTTTAGTATAAGGCGTAGTTGACTCCTTAACTCTTGAATTAATAACAAACGGTGTCATCGAAATAATGGAGGATGAGGATGAACATATACATGATTTTCAGAAGGATGATGACGATGAACATATACATGATTTCCAGAAGGATGAAGATGACGACCAAGACTGGGATGTTGATAATATAGATGATTAATTTAGGTCTATATTATATTTATTTGAATTTCTTATACTGAATTTGATAGATAAAGAAACTTATTGCAAACTTAAATTTTATATTCCCTTTTGTAGGAAATATACTTAGCATGCGAAGAACGGAAGGTAAGGTCATCCCGTCCGGTCAACATAGACATGTTGTGCACGGAGCCATGCATGGTCGAGATTGGGGTTAAGTGTTTACAAGTTTTACGAGGGAGGGAATAACCAAATGCTTTTCGCGTGACTAACAGTAGGACGGATACAAATTTGATTTTCCAAAAATGGGTGGAGGAGCGTAATGAAACTTTAAGTTTTTTTATATTATTTTAGGCCACGATTTTAATGTATAGGCCACAAATTGTAAAATCAACACTTAGATAATCATAGAAATATTTTTTGTCAGTACTAACACTTTTATATATGTGTACTCTGATTTAGAATGGTTTAAAGTAAAAGTTATTTATTGTTTCGGCTGTGTCGTCCAAAGTCTCCACGTCCTTCTCTACTCGTATTTAGTGTGTCCGGTTCTCTGTACTCGCTCCATGTCAGATGCTTGGTTTGTTAACTGTTGTGATGCTTTTGAAATGATTCATCTACATGATCCTATGTCGTTGCTTGGGGCATTTGATGTAAGCGCTTGCATCTTATTGGAGGTGTCCAGTGTACTACCTTTAGACTATTGTGTTTTACCATCCTAGACAAATATTTTATTTATTCATTCAAGTATAGGATCCTTATATATTTTCTTGTATAATTTTTTTAGTTTAGTATTGTTTTTGCTTGGATATAGAAACCATTTAGCTGGAAACATATATCTTACTTTTTATAAATGTTCAAAGGTTTCAATGAATTACATCTTTTATTAAATAGTCGTGACTTTTATGTTTTTCATTATTTTCCCTTCTAAGCATTACTAAGATGCCAACACTAATGAAAGAAATAAAAAAAATGCATATAAATTTACGTGTAAAGTAATTACATACAGATTTATTCATAGGTATTAACACCATAATAGTACTGCCAAAGAAAATCTTATTAAAGTGAAGTATGGTCTAGCATGATGTCTATATCCACATTATCATTTAGCACCGATTAAGCAAAGGAAAAACAAATTAAAGTGCAGTGGATTTTATTTGGCAATACTCCGTCGAAAGGCCACAATTAAAGTAGTGGTTGAACCCGTTTGAAGAGGAATTAATAAACACTTGAATCCAAAAGAGGCACAGTACAACAAAACTCCAACACCTAAGGCCACCTATGGTTTATTATAGCCAATTTCACTGCATCATTTGATGATTTAAGGAAGGTAATATAGCTATTAATATTAAGCAAAGAAATATGCACCGTCCACAAATTTCTAACTCAATTCTTACACAACCAACTTTTTTAGAAAAATTATCTTTTATGAATAATCGGACTCACTTTTATGATGTATTTCACGTAAATAAGACATTACAATTTGTAAGACTTTTACATTTAGATTTGGCTTTTCATCTCCAAACCATAATGTCTACCAATTATTACAAATTATGACATTATAATGCCCATTAATAACCAAAGGAACACACTAAATTCTTGATTTTGCTTTTCTAAAACATCAAAATATAACTACTCATAGTAACTCCCATATTAAGTTTACCTAACATTTACAAGGTTCTCTTACAATTACAACCAAGACGACAAGATACAATCGTCAACGTTTTCTTCCCTAAAGTGGCGTTTCTTGTTCCTTATTTAACAATTCATCTCTTTATTTACCTGCACATTTGACATTGCTATTTTTATCAGTTCTAACTCATTTCAGTAGTTAAGTATACATGTAATGATTTCTTACCACGAATTACTGAGATGATTGAACATACGGTCTGAATAAACATGAGCCAAAGTAGCAAAGTTGCAGCAGTAGTAGATGCTATTTTGGAAGGAGTGTTGAAGTACTCGTGTATGAAGATAGACTTGTACTTGTTGCAAGGATGTTCATAGAATTCATTTAAAGAAAGAGATATTATAGTCATCAACAACACAGTATATAACATAACAAAGTTTTCCTTATACTAAGACACTCAAATACAATAATCAAATACTTTCCTAACAAGTGACTTTCTTTTTTCTTATTTAATGAATCCTCTCTTCAATTACCTGCACATTTAACATAACAATTTTATCAGTTTGACTTGTCCCATGCCATTTGTTTAAGTATTGAACTGGATATGATTTCTTACTTTGAACCACTGAGATGATTGAACATACAGTCTGAATAAACGTGAGCAAAAGTAGCACAATTGCAGCCGTAGTAGATGCTATTTTCCAAGGAGTGTTGAAGTACTCGTGTATGAAGATAGCCTTGTACTTGTTGCCAGGATTTTCATAGAATTCATTTAAGATATTACAGATGGAGAAATAATGTGAATTGAAATCTGGGATGCTAAGTTGTGAGGTTAGATTATTAAACATAGTAGCCACCTTTTTAGCATCACCGGTCCAATTGACAATAATTTTCTTTTCAACAAGTAGGTTCACATCCTTTTCAGTATTGATAAGAAAAGCTAGAATCACTACATATTGAGTAATGATGTTTGTAGCAGAAAGGTGGCAATGTTCATAAGCCATCATATTCCTGAACAACAGTTCTGTATTGTCATGTATATTCAAGAGTGGCATGCTCAACACTCCATGTTTAGAATATGTCAAGTCAATAAAGCTTTTATATGGACTAACCTCAAACTCAAGACCAGCCTCCATTAGTTGGCTTGCACTGTATACATGTTTAACTTCTTTGCATCGCTCCAGTTTTTCAAGACCAAGTTTTGATGATGATATTATAGAAGATCTTAACAAATCAGTGAAGTGTTTTGGATTCTCTCTTGGACGCACGTCTCCGAAAAGTCTGTTCTCAAAATAGTTTAAAGTGATGTCAAGAAATTTCTCATTCATATCAGTGAGCTTGTGAAGTTGTTCAAGAACACAAAAAGGAAGTTGATTTTCCAATAATAGCAAGTCAAGCTCAATATAGCCTAGCATCCGTGGTTTTTGAATCAAAGGGTCTTTTTCCTTCCAGTCACTTTTTCTATTCGATCTTAGAAAAAGCTCAATTATGAAGCAAGCATCAACTAAAATCATCTTTAAGAAATTATCATTACATTCAATAGTGTCTGCATAACAGGTTCGAATAATATTACTTTCTTCCATCTCTTTAATTTTGTCAACAAATACTCTCATAGGTAGTTGTGTTCGATTCAGAAATCCCTTCAGATATTTGAGTTTAAGCTTTTTCATTGCCTCTAAATTGTTGTGATGATAAGGGCCAATTGTAAAAATTAGAGGTGTGTAGACTTTGGGATTATTTTGACGAATATTTGCTGGTACCCTATAAATGCTTTGCATATCGATTTCATCTACCTCTGGAGGTTTCACATTTTGAAGCATCTTAATCCATTCTCTCTCTAAACGTTCTATTTCAATCGCTACATTACTCGATTCTCTCTCCATTCGGTTAAAACCCTGTAACAAAAAATTTATACAATTACTTAAATTTATACAATTTAAAATACCTATGCCATAATTTAAAAGAATATATTTAATATTTATATAAAACCATTAGTTTAAAGGTTACTTCAGAGAAAGGAAAGTCTTACTAACAACCAAATTAATGGTTTGTTTATAAATTTCTTTAAAATTTGCAGAGGAGACAAATATTATAAAAAGATTTAAATATAATAGGAGAAAAGGACATTGAATATAATAGATTTTAGATATTATAGTGTATATAGCGCAGCTTGGACTATATGTAAAATAAAGGTAATTTTGATAATGAAAAAACGAGACTCGATAACAAAATATGGATCAAGGTAGCAACAAAGCCATTGAGATGTCTTCACCTTATACCACATCTTTTTTCTAACTTATTTCCATTACATTCTTTATTTTACTTTGCCTGCATATCATATTTATGTATTAATATTTAGGTTTTTTCTTTCTAGAATTGTTTCACACACTTTAGCCTTGACAATCATGAAGAGCAATGAATACCCTTATGGTAGTGATTTAAGGTATAAAACATCCCGCTGTTTAATCACATTTTCCATTGATTTCACCTATTAAGTCCATCTACTTTACTTTAACATGGTCTACTATAATGACAAAAGGTGTAGCAGAGACCTAAGCATGAAACTTAAATTAAAAAAAATTTCCGCAGCAAAACATCTCATAAGCTACTAGAAATGTTTAGAGATACATGTATTGTAGGAGAACACCCTTGTTACGAGGGAAGCACATATGAAACTCATTGCTAACACATTGAAATTTGCCAGATTACTGCAACAAATATGCTACAGTCCAAAAAAATAGGACTAGATTAGAAAAGGGTGGTGTTCTACATACAAATGGTTTAGTTACCACTCATAAGCATGTCATTCATATAATACAAATCTTCATTCATTTCCTATCAATTGTGATATAAGTTATGTACTTTGAAATTGCTATATATATATATATATATATATATATATATATATACACACTAACTAGATTCCTTACGTCTGTTGAAACCCCTTATCAACATATATAACTTCTATAATTTTACAAGAAGTAGAGTTAGGATGGGTTTCTATGTTGATAAGGGGTTTCAACAAACACATCGACGTAAGGAATCTAGTTAGTTTATTGATGAGAGATCGTGAAGGACATATGTAAGGAAACTATTTTGCAAACTTGATACTTGTATTATTTTGTTCCTTTCAAACATTCTTGTTGTACTCACACTTTGCATATTCTTTAACAATAAATTCTTTTTACTAAACTCTCAAAGGTCAGATTTAAGCAAGGATCATGGTCTTCTGATTATGCATCACACACAAAAATTGATGATGAAGGCATCATCAGGACATAGTGTTGGTGAACTTTGGTGGTGGAAAAAATAAAGGACAAATATATTGGACATGGCAACTTGCTGCCCATTACACTGTTGAAAGCACCAATCATCTACATCCAATAGTGTTGACTAGGGTTATGATGAGTTGGGATAACAATTGCAAGCTCGTGTCCAAGTTTATTATGATCTCAAATAAGAATTTAAGAATTTACTAAATTTGATCATAAGGTCTAATAGCCTCAACCCACTCCAACACTGCCCCAACAACGATGCTCCACAATGCAGCCACCCCTCTAGCAACAATAACATGAAGAAGAAGAAAGAAGTAACTCTGATGACAACTATATATGATGATTATTAGATATTTAGTTAGTTATGTACATATTATAAGATTTGAAAACAGTTCTATATGTTTGTATTTATGACATTATATTATGTTTTTAATAATATGGACTTCATTGTGACTAATGTATTTCTTTATTGATGTTTGGATGTATCTAGATTATGTGATTTTCAATGTGTGAGATTGTCTAATTTTAATGTGCTGGAAACCAAATGATACCTATTATAATTGAATGTGTTTCTCCTATTACGAGCGGATCACTAGCAGATATACTCGCTGGTAAATATCGACATATTTATCGACAAATCATTTTGTGGATAACTATCGATGACCTATATTCATCGGTAATAGTTTTCGACAAGAGCATCATCAATGGATTTGAGTCTGTCGATAATCTATCAAAAAATATGCAATATCGACAAATTATGAACATATTCAACAACTTATATTCGTCGGTAATTGCAAGTTCTTTTGTAGTTAACTTTTGTTCATCATATTTACAAAGAAGTCATCATGAGTCATGATACCATTTCAGAATTTTTTAAAGGAGTCGTAAGATCACTAGTAAAAAAAGGGGATTGGAAAGCACTATATACGCTTCGGTTTAAGCAAACCCGAAGCGTATAAAAGCGCGGTGACAGAACCGTAAATAAAGCTAACATATATGCCTCGGTTATGTGAGAACTGAAGCGTATAACGTTATATAAATCGGTTAATCTAAGACCCGAGGCAGAATATCGATATTGCACCGGTTAATTTAAGACCCGAGGCCTATATCACTGCTACACCTGCTACGTGCCTGCAACTTTACCTGGTACGCCAAACTTAAAGGCATCGGTTCATCAGGAACCGAAATCGTTGATGTTGTCCAGCACTTTATACCTCGGGCTGGCCTTTTAACCGATGCCAAAGCAAAAGCTTTTATTGCCGCTGCCACTCTGCACTTAACCTATTTGCGTCAAAAAGCTTCTCCTTCCTCCTGCTCTCCATTATTCCTCTGTGTCGCGGGTTCCTCCACCACTTCCATGGCTCGCCGCGCCACCCTTGTGCTGCCAGTGCTTACCTCCGTCATTGTTGCCTCTGTCACTACTGCCTTCGACACTGCTGCCTCTGCCGGAAACAGGGTTTCATCCACCGCTCTAGATCACGAAGCCCAAATCGCGAAGCCCTAAATCAGAAAATCCCAATTGGTTGTTGTTCAACCTCGCGAGTTCGTCTCCTCCGCTTCGGCCACCATCGCGCGTTTCTCCCCCAACGGCGAGTGGGTCGCCTCCGTCTCGGCCACCATCGTGCGTTTCTCCCCCAACGGCGAGTGGGTCGCCTCTGCCTCGGCCACCATCGCGCGTTTCTCCCCCAACGGCGAGTGGGTCGCCTCCACCTCGGCCACCATCGCGCGTTTCTTCCCCAACGGCGAGTGGGTCGCCTCCGCCTCGGCCACCATCGCTCGTTTCTCCCCAACGGGGAGTGGGTCGCCTCCGCCGATGCCTCCGGTACCGTCAGGATCTGAGGCACGCGAAACGACTTCGTTTTGAAGGAGTTCAGAGTCCTTTCCGCGAAACGACCTTCAGTCCCGACGGCCTCCGAAGCTTCTCTTTTGTGGATGATGTCTTTTGTTGATGTTGTATGCTATACAATGAAGGTGCGATGAAGCTTCTGTGTGTGTTGTGTATTGCTTTGTGGTGTATGTAGGAATTTCTGATATGTTGTTGTTCTTGTTGTGAACCCCCAAATGGCTGAGGATGACTGAGGATGGCTGAGGATGGCTGAAAAAATAAAAAAAAATACATTACTGCCTCGGTTACCTAAAAACCGAGGCATAATCCTATTCTTTTTGACTCGGTCCGTAACCGAGGCATAAAACCTACCATGTTTTATCTCGTCTGTATATGTCTCGGTTGTAGAACCGGTGTCTATAAGCAAAAATAACCGGTGTCATTTTCTCTTACTTCACTAATGGATTAATGACGACTTCAATTACAAAATTGTCAGGATTCATGACAACTTAGTCTTAGTTTGTAAATTTTATGTTAATCATTCCAATTTTGTAATTTATGGAATAAATTACTCTATATTTAAAAAAATTCCCAATAGAGAAAATAATTGGATAAAACAAAAGCCATTAAAAGAAAATAGAATTTATTCTGGTTAGTTAAATGATAATACTAACAAATATTTTAAATAATGATTGAATGCATTATCATTATAAATTTTATGATTTTAACTATAAACTAATAATTAAAACTAATACTGTAATTCAACTTAATGGATTGTCATAAATATTATAAACCATAATTATATTAAGGTTTAAACATTCGGTTGACTTCTACTATTTCATCGAGAATTTCAATTATGTTATTAGATTTTAATTGGTCTTAATTGGGTTTTCGAAAATGTGATACAATTTTGTTATTTTTGTTAGCATATTACTAATTACGTTAACTCATATATTACATATAACTTTTTCATATTTTTTACTTTTTATATTTTTTTATTTATACTTAGTTTTAATCTCATAAAAAAACACGGATTAGTAAAAAAAACACGGATTAGTAAAACATGAATTAATAATATATAATAATGTAATATATAGAAAAATCATTTTTAATAAAAATATTAATATAATATTATACAAATAATAAGTTGTCTTAATTTAAAAAGGAACAGTATTGTTTTATTTTTGTAAGAAATTGGTACTAAAATAAATAAGAAAAATATATAAGTAATAAATTAAAATCAGGATATTGACATTTAACACTAATATTAATACATGATAACACGTGTCATGCTAAAAACCTGACACGTGGCAACAAATACTTTACATTTCTTTTAAATTTAAAAAAATAAAAAATCACATATTAACACTGATATATTTTTAGCGTCATTAATACTTTTTTATCAAAAACAACTTAATTGAGGTACTTCTAAAATATTATAACGTAATTAAAAAAATTTTAAAAGTAGAGACCAACTTAATACACATGTCCACCAAAATGAGAACATATGAGAAATTAAACTTAAATTTGTGTTTGTTAAAAGGTGATGATAAAGAGTTTCTCTGATAATAATTTCTCAATAATGCTATAAGTATTGAAACTTTCAAAATTGATATTAAAGCATAAGTAGATACTTCATAGAAAAGATAAAAACTAAATAGAAGAAAGGAGAAGAACCTCAGATGGTGAATTGGATTAATGTTCAGCAGTTAAATCACCTTAACAAGCAAAGCCCCGGAGTTCCACAACAGAAAACTGCTTCTGATACATCTGATACAGAGTCATGCTTTTATATAAAAATTCCTCAAGCTAAAACCATTTTTTTAAAGTCAACACCATTGTATGAACACTAATCCAATCTAATGCGCAAATTGCACTTCATTAATATATTATTTTAGAAAATGATATTGCAAAGTTATATCTCGTTTACGGATTAATTTTATGGATCTGTCGTCACAGATATTATAAAAAGAATTTGAATATAATATAACAGAAAGAGCTTGAATACAATAGATTTTAAATATTGTAGGGTATACCATAGTTAGTACAAGGCATATAAAATAAATGTAATTTTTGTAAGTAAACGAAACTATATAATAAAATATTGACAAAACCGACTACTAGCATTATTAAAATATCAGCCAATAATATATAACCTTTGACTAATTTATTTATGATAACTATCTTGTTCATCTACGTATTGGCATACAAAAATTAAGAGCTAAATAAGCAATTGGCGAAGGATTTCACGAATTAAACAAGATCCCAAATTGTTAGAACAATTTATAGAATAGAGAAAATACGGAGATAGTAGAATGTGAAAATAGTAGTTGGAAGAAATGTATTTTGTAGTTGTGTTAGATATTGTCTTATATCAAATAGTATAGTACATGAGTGTTTATAAACCTATAGATTATTCTAAAAAATGCTAGCACTAGTAAAAAAAGTAGTTTCTAACGCGCCATATACGCTTCGGTTACGCAAAAACCGAAGCGTACAAAGCTATATACCTCGGTTACATTTTGACCCGAGGCGGAATGGTAGTATTGTCTCGGTTAGTAGAAGACCCGAGACCTATACCTCACTGCAAATCAGACCTTTCTGTCTAACAACGTTTTGAAAGCCCTATTGCCTCGGTTTGCTCGGCAACCGATGCCTATACACCTGTGCAAGTCAGGTTTTTCCCTGAACCCTGAAAGTCCTCTACAAGTTAGGCTTTTCGCCTGAAGCACTGACAAATGCTATGTTGGCTGCTATGCCAGGCCTAAGGCATCGGTTCTTCGAGGAACCGAGGTCATTGATTGTCACTTTATACCTTGTGTTTTGCTTTTAACTAGTGCCATATGATGGTATTACCTCGGGTTTTTCAGTAACCGAGGTAGTAGCTCCATTCATTTTCTGAACTTAACCTACACACGTTTCATTTGCGCCCAACAGCTTCTTCTTCCTCTCTTGCTCTCTCATTCCTCTGCGTAGCTTCTTCTTCCTCGTGCTCTCACATTCTTCCTTTGCAGTTGCATCCACCACTGCCACTCCTTGCCCTCGTCGCGTCGCCCCCTATGTTGCCATAGGCTTGCCTGCCTCCTTCTTGCCAGTGCTCGCGCCTGTCGCTGCTGGTTGTTGTTCTTGGCTGCGCCTCCTCCCTTTGTCGTCGTGCCATTGGTGCCCCGCCACTGCTGCCTGCGGTGCCTCCAACGAGTCCACTCTTTTGTCACTGCTGTAGCCTCCACCGCTGCTACCTCCACTGCTGTTTCAATCTTGCTGCCTGCATTGAGGTTGGTTGATTGTGTTTTTGTTGATAATAATTGGTGGAGGCAGAAAGAGAAACAAATTTTATGTTTGGGTAGTTTTCATTTGCTGTGTTTGATAATAATTGTTGTTTGGCAAGTTTTATAGAGGTGTTTGCTTGACTGCTTGGTTGTTTTCATTTGTTGTTAATTTTTTTAGGAATTGAACTTGTGTTGTTTTAGCTTGATACATTGTGGCTTATTGCAGTAAAGAGTATGAATACATGTAGTTACCTTGATGTCAATACCGTTTATTTTTCTAAGATGACAATATTTGGTCTTAAATAGTATAGGCTCTTGTTTATTTAGTCAGAACACCGAAATTCTTCCATCCATGTATGAATAAGCTTCAATTTTTTTTCCTTATCAAATATTTTTTATTATAAGTTACTTTGAAAGCAAAATAAACTAGTTTTAAACTAGTTTTAAGATGAACAACGCACTTAGGATAAACTAGTTTTAAACTAGATCTTAGGACAATAATTGTTAGTTGCAAATCAGAAGAAAATTAGTATAGATAAAAATAAGGAAAAATAGAAAAACAAAAGTTAATTTTGGATAGTGTAGTTTAGAAGAAATAACAGGAAAGAAATTTAAAAAAAAAGACTTGTTGGGTTTTAGATGGAAGGAAGGGAGATACGTTATACCATAATGAAAAAAATATTACTTTAACCTTAACTCATTGTCTAACATCATATGCATTTAGACAATCATAGAAAACAACATAATTGTGAAAACCAACATATAGACAAGTATGAAAAACACAAACAATTATCAAAGGCACGATGGGAGAAGCATAAATAGTGACAATCATGTAATCTTTTAAAAAACACAGTTTGGCTTAGTACACTGGACAATCACGTAATTATTATTGTGAAATTGATATATTGGTTATTGTTATTTGATGATATGATTATAAGCTAAACAATATTGAAATAAGGTTTGAGAAAATGAAATAAACAAGTGAAATAAGGTTTGAGATAAAAATATTACTTTAACCTTAATGAATAAGGTTAAGTAATATTTTTTTCATGAGCTAAACAATATTGAAATAAGGTTTGAGAAAATGAAATAAACAAGTGAAATAAAGTCAAGTTATCTAAACCCTAAAGTTAATTGAAATTACATTATTTACTCTTGGTTGAATATATTGTTTGTTTGAATATATTGCATGTTGCATATGTAATTATTTGTTTGACAATTAGCCTTAGTTTTCCTGTTTGAGATTCAATACAAAAATTATTTACTATCCTGTCGCAACCGGAATCGCGACGGGACGACGATCCACAAAGAAACGCGGTTTCGAAAAGAGATTTGGAGTCGCCACCATAGTTTTTTATTTTGGAAAACTACGGAAAAATCATAAAATGATAAGACACAGTTCCGTGAAAACCAGATTCTGGGTTCGGAGTCGTTACGTGTAGGGAAGGTATTAGCACCCCCTAACAACGCCTGCCCTAAGGCCCCATACCTTTAACAAATACGGCGAATTTGATTGGTTTTCAAAATGTTTTAACACTATCCCTAAAATAAAATTCTAATAAACAAAATATATTTTTTTGTTTTTTTGAGCCCGACAAGGATTGACCTTGCTCCTACGTATTCTCATTCAAATGGAAATCAGGTGTTACGTAGTTCTTTTAGAAAACTGCTTGAAAATTTGTTTTGAAAATTTGTTTAGAAAATTTTGTTTGGAAAATGATTAGGGATAATTTGGATTTTTGGGAAAGTGAACCTGACAAGGGCTTGCCTTGCTCCTACGTATCTCCACTTTTTGATGGAGAATCAAGGATCACGTAGTTCTGGTAGCCATTTTGTTTGTTGTTTGAAATTTTGTAGATATTTTTAATTTTTTTTGTAGATTTCTTGTTTTCTGTATTTTTATAAAATAAAGAGAAAAAGGTTTTTTAGCACAAAGGACGATGCGTGCGATCACACATGTGCCTTAAACCTTAAAATACTTTTTGTAATTTTTTTAAGAAAGGGAAAAGGTTTTTTTTAAGCACAAGCAATATGCGTGCCGATCACACATGTGCCTAAACCTTCAAAATATATTTTTTTGTAATTTTATTTAAGAAAGAGAAAAGGTTTTTAGCACAAGGACGAATGCCGTGCGCTTC